CGGCGGGGGGTGTGGTTGGTGGGGGGGGGGGGAGATGTGGCTGCTCTCGCTCTCCTTCTTCCCTTTCCTCCTCGTTTTGGTCGTTGGCTTTCTTTGATCCTTCGCCCCTCCACAACCACCACCACAACTACCACCTGGCTTTGAGGAAAGAAAAAAAAATATTTTAAAGAAGAATATATATTTATATTTATATATATAATAACAGCAGCAGCTGCTTGGCGGCGGTTCGCTGCCACCTGTACACTTAGAGGGGGGATACGCCAGAAGAAATGAAGCGTCCCACCACAACAACAATGAGCACATGAGAAGAAGAAGGAGCGGCACCAGTTAAGTTTGGGGGATCTCTGTGTGTGTCGGTGTGTCGGTGGGTGTTGAAGGCATCAATAAAACAACTGCAGCAAACGGTTTTTTTTGTTTTAGGTAGTTTTCTTCGGTCTTATGTATGTGTGTGTGTGTGTGTGTGTGTGTGGTTTCCATCTTCCCATGATTCTTTTTCCCTTCGTGTTGGATTTAGTTTCGTTAGACCCAATTTGTTTGCGCCTCCCCCTTCCGTCCGCGGCGTGCCGCCGCCCCTGCGGCCACGCTGCCTTGAGCCACCCGAAAGAGAACAGAGCAAAGAAGAAAATAAGAAAAGGCTACAAAATAAAACAAAAAAAAAAAAANAAAAAAAAAAAAGAAACAAGAGTCAGCAAGCAAGCAAGCAAATAGACAAAGCCAGGCGGGAAGAACAGAGAGAGAAATGAGAGAAAAAAAAAAAGAAGCTGGCGGTAGGAGCAGAAAAGAAGGTGGAAAAAGCAGACAATAAAGGGAAAAAAAAAAACAGCAAGAACGGGGAGCGAGGGAATAAGGACCCACCACGCCACAGCAGCAAAAGGTACATCCATGCATACATATATACATATCTCTGTGTGTCTGTGTGTGTGTATATATATGTACGTGTCTGTGGCGTGGCGATCAGCACGAGAAGACAAGAAAACAGACAGTGAGGGTTAAGTGCGTGTGCGTGTCTGTCTTTGTATTGGGTGCTCAATGTAATGCAGATGCAGAAGATGCGGAGGTATGGCTGCACCGTGGTGTGCAGCAGCAGCAGTGGAGAATGCAATGAAATGCACTGCGTATGACATAACTCCTGCCATTCTTTTTGTGTATTCTAGCCACCAACGCTATATAGACACACGCATACGCCCTCACTCTGGTGTTGTGTTTTCTCTTTCCTTCTTCTATGAGTAGTGTCCCTTCGGTCGTTATTCTGATGGTTTTTTTTTGCTTGTTTTGTTTGTTTTGTTTTGTGTTTGGGCTGCGATCCCCCTTTCTTTGCCTGTCCGTTTTCCTTGCTTGGTGTTTTTTTTTTTTTTGGTCCCCCTGGGCCAGTGGAATGACGCACGCTATGTTTCTGTTCATGTGTGTGTGTGTGTGTGTGTGTGTGTGTGTGTGCTCAACGACGGCAGCGTTAGCTGAAAACGGCGATGTATTGTGGAATTAAAACAAAAAATTTTCGCTTTCCTTAAGAAAAGGCAATGGAATCGAGTCAAGAGCGAGGATTCTTCCCACGTATTGCTGCTCACGTGTGCGTCGTTGTGCTCCCCTAGTGGCGCTTGCCACCACCACCGCCACCGCCCAATATGGCGTGCGCGTTTTTATTGTCTCGGATGTTGTTGTTGTTGTTGCTGTTGTTGTTGTTCCTGTGCGTGTATTTTATTTATTCCTTTGCGCGTGATTTCTTTTTTGTTTGTTTGTTCGCTGTTACTGCTTCAGATGTTATTGTGTCGGTGGTTGCGTGTCTGGGGGGGAGGCGTGTGGCAG